ACCCGTCAGGTGAACTCCAAGCATATACTATGGTAGGTCCATTGTACCTCCCTTGTCAGGCGGCCAAAGAGAAGCGCCCCTTCCGGGTCATTGTCATTGGGCCTTCGAACACCATTGGGAGAGGATGTAGTGGGCACCACCTGGGAAACGCGAAGGGACTTCGGTGGTCGGATGCCTTGCAGAACCTGTCGAACTACACAAGGAGCCCACCTGAGAGCCCCACATTCCCTCGTAACCCCGATACACCCTACCACCCGGCAGCCCCAGACGTAAACCCCATTCTCTGAAAATGTAAAGTCCAAGCGGGCAAGGATGTACGGCTTAGTCAGCCCTGTTCTCTCTCTCTCTCTATCTATCTATATATATACATATATACATATATAGTATTAAATATCTACCAGTATTATATTCTATATCTATATATATATATATATACATGATATTACATTATGTTGTATTATATTATATTCTATTATATTCTATTCTATTCTATTATATTATATTATATTATATTATATTGCATATCATATTATATTACATTATATAATATTATATCATATTATATAATATTGCGTTATATGATATGATATTATATTGCATTATATTATATGTAATCTAAGATAAAATACAACATTATGTATATATATACATGTATATATATATAATATGAGTATCTAATATGCAATATACTTGCATGCCTTAGAATGTGTGTATATATATACACAGACATACATATAGGCCGGGGGCTGCGCCCTCATGCAGCCAAAGGATCCCGTTGGCCCTGGCTGGTATTTTTTTTTTTTTTGGGGGGGGGGGGGGGTGTTGGGTTTAGGGTTTAGGGTTTAGGGTTTCGGGTTTAGGGTTTAGGGTGCAGGGTGTCGGGCTTTCAGCTCTGAAGATTCAGCTGGGGCCACACAGATTCGTAAGGCCCAGAATACGAGGCCAAGGGGTGCAGACTCATGGAGTTTAGGGTTTAGGGGTTTCGGGTTTCGGGTTTGGGGTTTGGGGTTTAGGTCTAGCAAGCCTGGGGCTAGGATCGAGAAGCAAAAACATCTTGTGGCCAGGAGGTCCAACAGCTTCGTGTGCTGGAGGGCAAAGCCCAGGGCGAGAGCTTTTAGGGAGGTGGACGGTTTAGGGTTCAGGGTTTAGGTTTAAGGTTCATAGGGTTTACAGGGTTTACAGGGTTTTTCGGGTTTGTAGGTTTTAGGGGTTGGGGTTTAGGGACTCGGGTTTCGGGCCTCGGCCCAACTACAAAAACGAAGAATAGGCAAAAAGCCGCGGGGCCACTGTTGAGTGCCCGGCGCAATGGACCCCCATTCGGCAGCAAAACTTAGTATCCTCGAAAGAAATCACGTGGAAGTTAAACCCTGATCCCTGGACCCTAAACCCTGAACCCTAAACCCTGAACCCTAAGCCCAGGTTGCCCCTGCCCCCCTCCCGATCCAGGCCTGGGGCCTTTCGAGTCTCTGGGGGCTTCACACCGAAAAGCCCAATACCCCTTAATGAGGGAGCATGCCTTAAATCCTTCCAAGGAACCCTTTTTAATTTAAAGGGTATGCTCCTGAATGAACAAACATCCCTTGAAATATTAAGGATGATCCCTCTATAGTTTAAGGTTTATACCTTAGTTAAGGCGTAGAGGGCTCTCGGGGGCTGGCCCAGGAGGTAGGCTTGAACATAATTTTTAATTTCCCTAAACCCTAAACCCTAAGCCCTTTGTTACCCTTAGTCCTCTGTAGGGTCCTTATAAAGCCATAAACGTGTAAGGATGTATGGGGCCCCCGAGACCTGCGCCAGTCAAGTTAGCAGATTTTCAAGAGCCGTTTGAAACACGCGAAACAGTACTTAAGAACAAGCAAGATGCTTCTGCCAGGATGGGCTATTATACCCTATAATCCCTTAACAGGCCCTTTACAGGGTGCATTATGGGGATTCTAAGGCCTAATAGCCCATCCTGGTGTAGGTTGTTTTCTCCAGACGGTTTGTGTGTGTGTAGTCTGCGCGTACTGTACGTATGGTGCGCGCTGTCCATGCGTATACGGTGCACTCGTGAGCGCAGACCGTGTGCACCGATCGTGCGTGCGTGAATTTGTCGAAAGCATTGCAAAACGATCTTTGTTGCATGCAAGCACGCGTGGTCTGCCTGCATGTACAGTGAGCGCGATTTACCGTACGCATCCGTACGCACGGCCTGCGTGCGCCCACAGTCCGTGATCACATGCACAGTATGCACACACCCGCCATGACAAACATAGGGAGGTGTCCGAAATTAGGGGTACCTTCTTGCGGTACCCCTACTATCTGGGGGGTCTATATGACGGCTCGCCTATTTTCGTAAACAGCCAGCTAATTTCATCTTGAGAAACAATCAGGGATATGTATTCCCCTTCCTCCCCCATATAATCCTTATAAAGCCATAAAAGTTTAGTTCTTATAGGGCTCCCAAACCTACCCCAGCAGTGGCCGTTCAGCAAGCTTCATCAAGACCCCCAGGCTGTAGCCCACAAAGAGGATGCCGCATGCCAAGTGAGACCAAACTATCGGGAAAACTGAGGAAAATGACATAATGCCGTATGGGCAATGAGACGACTATACAGTGAGGCCTGATTGGGTTGCGAGGCGCGCTCAGAACCGATGAGTTGTACCAGAGCACTTGCAAATGCATTCAGCTTTTGCCGGGCTCCCGCGCAGTGAGAGGCCGTACAACAGCCGCCCATCCAGAACACCAATAATGCTGTCTATGCTTATTGCTGTCTCTTCTGCATGTCTGCGCCAAAATTATTATAATTTTGGTGCAGACATGCAGAAGAGACATGCAGAAGAGACAGCAATAAGCATAGACAGCAGAGAGAGCCATCAAGTGTATTCGATCCACATGTCTGGCAACTCCCTGGCCCTAGCACTGTCTGTCCTTCAATTTATGAGTCAGTGACGCACGCAGCCAACCGCATACCCAAAGAGCCCAATACCCCTTGATTAATGAATATATACCTTCATAGTTCAAGGTATACTCCTTATTTCGGCACATGTTACACTGCAATCTCTGAGTCTGTGGTCCCGCCTCGTGTCTCCCATGCTGCACGCTACAAGCATGGCTCTTGCCCTAAACCCTACACCCTAAACCCTAAACCCTAAACCCTAACCCTAAACCCTAAACCCTAAACCCTGAACCCTGAACCTTAAACCCAAACTCTCAAGCCAGCTTGCAGCCTGCTACCTCTCAGAGCCGTTTGTTGTGGTTTTTGGGTTTAGGTAGGGTTTAGGGTTTAGGGTTTAGGGTTTAGGGTTTAGAGCTTAGGGCTCAGGGTTTGGGGACTTTGCTCGAAGATCCTTAACCCTAGGCCCTGAACCCTGAAAAGCCGCAACTGCGTACCCACAGAGCCCAATACCCCCCCCTTAATTAAGGAATTTTCCCTATAACTTATAAAGGGATCCTTATTATTGCATTTAAGCCATGTTCCTGAATTACGAATTTACCCTAAGTTATAAAGCGATTCCTTATTTAGTTGATTTAAGGAGTATTCCTGTATTTAATAGGTGTATGTTGGGCTCTTTGGGTGGCAGGAGCCCCCTCCAGATGGAGGTCATCAATGCGGCAGCGGGTGGCACCACCTTCTCCAGCGTATGGAGAGGGGATTAGGGTGAGGGTTTAGGGTTTAGGGTTTAGGATTTCGGGTGTAAGCTTTACTTGGAGGTTCATGGTACTACTTCTTCACCCAGTGATAACTGTACTTATAACCCAATTATAACCATGTTAGAGCACCTAAGGGGGGCTTATAAGTGTGTGATAAGTGCAGTCATAACTGGGTGATAAGTACCATGAACCTTCAAGTAGGGGTTTCTGAAAATCGTAACCTAGTTGAGGCAGGCTTCGCGGCATTCCTTTACCCTCCCAGGGGTAGTAGCCTGCAACAAGACACTCCAACAAACGGCCCTGAATCCTATAAACCCTAAACCCTAAACCCTTAAAAAGCCCAGCTTGAACCCATAAACCCCAAACGAATGTTGGAGGACCCGACTTCGGCCCTTATTCACTTTTTTTAAAGGGTTTAAGTTCCAGTAGAAGCTCTTTAAGCCAAGAGCGGTACCTCTATGTCTGTATTCCTAGACCCTAAAACTCTTCTTCCTTACCTTTGATTTTGGGGTTCAGGCTGTTGGGTTTATCAAGTTTAGGGCCCAAAATCTGTTTTTGTGTTGGAGTTCCCAACGCCGCTTTGAGAAGTAGTCGGAATTAGGGTGGATCTGTCAGGGTCTTGCGGTTGCATTCAACATCTGATGTGCAAAACATACGGAAACATATGTCTCTGTAAGAAGAGTTGAGATTATGGGATCTGCAGCTGCTCGAACATGATGGAAAACAGTAGCAAAGCCAGTGTGGGAAGTTTTGGGAGAAAGGACCCAGATGCTGAGACCACACCTGAAGGAGCGGGGTTTGGGTGCAGGCTTCGAGTGTTCCTCAACCCCGGTTTGGGTTTAGGGTTTAGGGTTGAGGGTTGAGGGTTGAGGGTTTAGGGTTTAGGGTTTAGGGTTTAGGGTTTCGGGCTTCAGTTGTTCAGGTTTGGGACTTTGAGCATTGCACGGCTTAGGGTTTGGGATTCCAGTTTAGGGTTCAGGGTTGCACGGTAAGATTACACTAGAGGAAGGACCCTGAATGACCCGAAGCCTATATGGGGTTGTATTCTTATACGTTGGGATGGGTCTGCTCAAGGGTGCTTTTTGAGGGGTCCAGGAAAAAGGAAGCCTTTCCGTCCCTGCTAGCATCCCTGAAGACAGTTTCTACTTGGATGTTCGTGGTACATACTAACCCAAATTATTCCTGTACCATGCTAGAGCACTTAAGCCACTTATAGGTGGGTTACAAGTACAGCTATCACTGTGTTACAAGTACCATGAACCTCCAAGTAGGACTTAGGGTACAACAGGACTCCATCGACCTCGTGGCCGTTGACTTCACTCTCACATCTTCAGACAAAATGGTGAATTCACGCGCCGTCACTGCCATGCTCAACTATTTGCAAAAAAATTGGGAGCCGGCACCTGCAGTGCTTTTCCTTGAGACGTTTACTGGGAATGCCATGCACATCATGGGGCGCGTGTCGGAAAAACCCGATGCTTGCAGCTTCGCCGGCAGGGATCTGCAGACCACCGATCCTTTCTACCCGGTCCTGGCGGCCTTGCAAATCCCCATGGTAAGCTACGTGGTAGCCCAGTGGTACCCTATACCCTTTTTTGGGTTCTGGCTTCCCTAAGAAGTAAACCAACCCATAAAAAGGGGTGCCCTGAGAAAGATGGTTACTGGGCTACCAAGGCTATGCGGACATGGCTTGCGCCATGCCAGCGTTGGGTCGGGGCAGCAAGAGCAAAAACAACGTCCCTTTCCTCTACACCTACGTCAGCGAGGCTGATCATCACTACGGCTGCGGGGTTCACTTCATCCAGGCCAGAACGTGAAGCTGCAAAAGCCCTACAATTACTAGGACCCAGAGTAAGGCCCTTAGTCCCTTTTTTTTGAGGGGGGGGGGGGGGGGGGGCGGTGTAGGTTCTCTTCTGAGGCCCTTGACAGCCAAAAGGGGCACCCTCTTGTTCTGGGTTACTTTTGGGTCTAGATTGCTACGTCCTCAACCCGCCAGGCCCAGAGCATCCACGTCTTTCTACACAAGCTGCTACACGATTCCTGCATCGAGCCCAAGCTGAGAGTTTAGGGTTTAGGGTTTAAGGTTTAGAGTTTAGGTTTGGGGTTTAGGGTTTTGGGCTGAGCCTATCACCCAAAACCCTAGACCCCCAACCCTAAACCCGAATATTTCGAACTGCAGGCGGTTCACACAAAGTTGAAGCAAAGCCAAAACCCTAAAGGCTTGCTAGACCCTAAAGTCAGAGCTATTATTTGGGAGGCTCCCCCCTATACTAGCAGTCCTTGATGGGGATTGTAGGGGTACTATAATCCCTATTAGGGACTGTTAGTAAATAGGGAGAACAGCCCAAGCTATTCTGATAATTCGGATGTATTTTCAATTCTGAAGCGGATCACTACTTTTTCTGTGAATTCGTTGCATTTTGTTAGGATTAAGATCGATTAACAGGGTTTAGGGTTTGGGGTTTGGGGTTTGGGGTTTGGGGTTTGGGGTTTGGGGTTTAGGGTCACCAAATCCTACATACCAACTTGACCCTACTGCAACCCTGACCTCAGGAAGGCTACCAGGCAACCCTGTCCACCGCCGCCGCGGAAGATGCGGCAATGCAGCAACTACAGGCGCAAAACCTGTCGCAGGTGGAGCGGTGCCAGACGGACTTGCTCCCAGACTTAATTCATTTCTACACCCTGTATCCTTAAGCCCACAGCCAATGTTCAAAATCGCGGATCAGAGACTGAGGGTTTAGGGTTTACGGTTTAGGCGAACCTAGGATCAGAGATCTAGAGCCAACATCCTGTTTCACATTCAGTCTTGCTTGGGAGCTTTGGGGGCAAAGGATTTGGGACCTGCGGATTTGTAAGCTCGGGGGTGGCAAGGGACCGGCGTAGCTAGCATGCTTCAGATTCAACATGCTCTGCATACCTGCTCTTACTTCCTTAGTAGTAAGTAGAGTAGCTAACCTTTAACCTTTTTGGGTTAATATATTCCCCTTATATTCCCAAAGGTTAACCTTTAAAACCCCTAGGTACTGGACAACTAAGCTTCACATGTACTTGTGTGTTGTTTTCGCTGTGGTCGTTGTCATTGTCCGCGTCGTCGTGGCACAATTGTTGAGGTTGTTCCAGTTATTGCGGCGGTGGCGGTGGTGGTGTTGTGGTAGTCGTCGTTGTCTGTTGTTTAAGCTTGCTCATCCATTCTGCAACAAGCACAAGTGCTTAGGGGTTACTGAGGGCACAGGGTGTTCCGCACCCACACAACCGTGGTTTAAGGTTTAGGGATACATGAATCGTATATACAATATCTTAATGTAGCTTCTTCCCCTGAAAACCCTGTATATATACATATATGTATATATCTTTATATACATATATATATAGATTCATCCAAGTTCTTCTCCTACGCCCTCAACCCTACACCCTGTAAACCCCGAAACTTACTTCGCCTTTAGTTCAACTTCAAGCTTTTTGGGTTTTCTTATTTCGTAGGAATAGTACAGTTTAACCTTTGCTTTCCCCTTGGTTATTGGAGAAGTATGTAAACCCCCTGATCAGGCAGTCCTTTTTGTCCCTACACCCTAAACCCTAAACCCTAAACCCTCAACCCTCAACCCTCAACCCTCAACCCTAAACCCTAAACCCTAAACCCTAAACCCAGGCAGTCCTTTCTGTCCTACCTGGACCACCGGGGCTTCCCGGCGCTCGTCGGGCCGTCGTCCACCTGGCTCTTCGGGGCGGACAGCCGGGCAAAGTACGGCTGGATTGCGAACTGGAAGCCCCAAGGTGCACCTTAGGTTTAGGGTTTAGGGTTTAGGGTTTAGGGTTTAGGGGTTTAGGGTTTAGGGTTTAGGGTTTAGGGTTTAGGGTTCTATATCAGTGTTTCGGGGCCCAACGCAAAAGGAGGCCTAAACTCTAAACCATCAAGACAAGTCTTTTTTGGGCCGTATCTGAAACCTGATTTCGTAGATTAAACCCTCAGCCCTGCACACTTCTGTCAACTTTCAAGCCCCTAAGTGCCATCTGGCTTCCGGTGGGGCTGGGGTGGGGGTCCCTAAACCCTGAACGCTGCACGCTGAACCTGAAGCCCTGAACCCTAAACCCTAAAATCCCTCAAGCGCGATCCCCATGAAGGTAACCAGACTGGGAATCAGACGGATGCGCCTGGGCTCCCCCAGAGCCCTAAGCGGGGAGCTGCGCGTCTGGCTTCGATTTAGGGGGGTTTAGGGGGTTTAGGGTTTGGGGTTTAGGGTTTGGGCTTTGTTTTTTGGGCGGTGTAGGGGGTTTAGGGGGTTTAGGGGGGTTTAGGGGGTTTAGGGTGTTTAGGGGGTTTGGGGTGTTTGGAGGATTTGGAGGGTTTAGGAATTTTGTTTGTATTTTGTTTTGGGCGGCGGTGGGTAATATACCTTCTACCCCATTGGGAACCTTCAAATGATTTCGAGTCTGTTCCTTAGTTAAGTGGGGCATTGGGCTCTGTGGAGTTTTACGTATGGGGTCTAATTCTGTAGGGTGCAGAGTTTAGGGTTGTTTTGTCTAGGTTGGCTTTGGGATAGTACATATTTTCCTTATTTGGGTTGATCGGGGGGCCTACATACAATTATTTTGCAAAGGGCGTCAGGTTTAATTACAGGCCAAGCAAGTTATGCTGTTTTGGGATGTAGGGAGATCCCCAGTTTAGGCGTGTCACTTGGCGTTTGGCAAAAAGCGGAGTGGCAAGCTCGGTCCTAAAGGGGCAGCCGAGGACCCACTATGCTCAGTTCGACGACCTCCCAGCCACGGACATCGTCTTCATCATCCACCTGAAAATCGGCGGGGTGTTGGTTGCTTGGCTTTCTTCTGGCGGGCTCTTGGGGCTTTAACCTTTTCGGTTTATGTAGAAACTACAATAAGGAGCCTAAGCGTTGGACTTTTAGGAGGGGTTCAGAAGTCAGCCAAGGTTGAGTATCTCTCGACCTACAACAACATTGGCTCTGCAAGCTGCCAGATAGAAGACTTGTCAGGAAGGATCATCAGCCCAGTTTCACGGCTGAACGGTCTCTGGGACAAACACATGTCCATGTCCAGCCAAGCGACTTTTTTCGCGAACATGACGCAGCTGGCGCGCGACTCTAAAGGCATTGCCGCATTCCGGTGTCGGAGTGAAGGCAAGAAGTTTAAGATACTCTCCATTTCGAGCTGCTGACCCAAACAGCTTAATGCCCTTTTAGCTAAGAAATATACCTTAAACCATATAGGGGTCTAGACTATGATTTAAGGTATGTTCCGTGCTGAAAAGATATCGGCTTCTTTGGGGCCATGCGAGTTGAAGGGGCTGCTGGAGCGTCGGCCCGTGTTTTGCCTGTGTCAAGAGGCATTGGGTCGGGTGTATTTCAGATCTTTCAGGGGCGTGCTGCGCAAGACGCGCGCACGGTCGTGTTCCTCAGGCACAGGGTTTTCTCCCCCTCGGTGCCTGAGACTAACTGAGGCCCCTGCTCCCAAAAGCTGTCGCCTGTCGCAGCTCACACGTGGCTCGCGAGGAATCGCTGGAGCGGAGGCGACAAGTCAAGCTACTCACCAGCTCTAGCTGTTGAGGTTGAGGGCTCCTGTTTACTTACTTAGCCAATACCTGAACTTTAAACTTTCTGGGTTTCCTTATCTAGTAGCGATCGTAAAGTTTAACCTTTCTTCCCCTGGTTACTGGAGAAGTGAGTTTCGGGTAGGGGCTTGAGTCAGCTAGGGCCTTATACAGGTTCTCTGGACACACAGACCCTTAACCTGAAACCCAACACCCCAAACCAAGTCCAAACATTTTGAACAATATGGGCCTAGAACCGTAAACTCTGAACCTCACAATAGCCGCAAGCCTCGGAGTTAAGGGTTTAGGGTTTATAAGGGTGTAGGGTTAAGGGTTTAGGGTTTGGGGTTAGGGTATTGAGGGTTTAGGGTATTTAGGGTTTCAGGGCTTCAGGGTGGTTGGTTCTGGCTTCAGGGTTCAAAATTTAGGGTTTTTAAGGTTTAGTGGTTGTAGGGCTTTGGGTTTAGGGCCCTTTGATGGGGATCAGGAGCTACCCCTTAAAGAGCTTTCTGTGCTTTTGTGTCGCAAGTGCTTCCCTTTCAACCCGCAACCCTAAGCCCTGTACCCCAGCTTGCATGGGGTTGGGTTTAGAGTTCACCGGGACCCCCAAAGTATCTAGAAAGATAGCCCCCCAACCCTGTAGGGATTGTTGGGTTCAGGGCTTGCTCGGGCTTGAGGAGGGAGCTCGGGTCTTCGAGCTTTCAAAAAGAGGCGCAGCGTTTGGCTCGCAGCGCTAGACATCATGGTGGCTGCACCCCTAAAGGTTCCCCTCAATATACTCCGAGTGTGGCCCTTATATTCCCTTAAGGATCCTTGAAAAGGGACCCCAAGACCTCAGGGGTATAACCTTAAAACCCTAAACCCTAAACCCTAAACCCTAAACCCTAAAGGGCCCAAGGTCGAGCCCCCAGAGGCTGTAATCCGGCGCTTCAATCGATACCTGTTCTCGGTAGGCCCTGGGGGGACATTTCATATTTTCCCTTACCGGGCTTAAGAGGACTCTAACCCTAAACCCTAAACCCTAAACCCTAAACCCTAAACCCTAAACCCTAAACCCTAAACCCCAAACCCCAAACCCCAAACCCCAAACCCCAAACCCCAAACCCTAGATTTAGGAGTCTTTTTCAGAGGGCTTTAAGGGCCTTCCTTGCGGATGTTCCCCCTTATACTAACAGTCCTTAAAGGGGACTAGAATGGGGGGGGGGGGGGGTACTAGAATCCCTATTAACTATATCCCCCTTGGGAATATTTTGTATTTTTGTTTATATATAAAACCCAAGAGGATATTTGAAGATATGTGTTTCTGAAGTCTCTAAGGGGAGTATAGCTAAGGACTGTTCGTAGAAGGGGGACATCCTAAGCCATTCTAGAATACTTCTGCGGTTGTTCGTGGGTATGTGCTTTGACACCCTAAACCCTAAACCCTAAACCCTAAACCCTAAACCCTAAACCCTAAACCCTATGCCTCCAAAACAAAAGCTGCCGTAAGGGTCCCCAACATACTGGGGCAGAATGGGCCCTGATTCTTTGTTTTTAGGGTTTAGGCGGTTTAGGCGGTTTAGGCTCCCTCATATACGCTCCTGTAAGCCAAACAGGGCACCCTTCTTTTCTCCCGGGTTACTCTTGGGCCTAGTAGGGCTCATGCGACTGATATGCCCGGCTGCGGCTCTCCTTTCGGTACTCTTACTGGTCGCAGCGTGCTGGCTGTGGGATCGCTTCGCCCGCTTTCAAGGAGTTCCGAGCCCCACCCAAACTCATAAGGTCCCAGGTTCCCTACTATAACCCCTAAACCCTAAACCCTAAACCCTAAACCCTAAACCCTAAGCCCTAAACCCTAAACCCTAAACCCACTACTCCCCAAGGCTCCTGACCCTATATGCAACCCTGAACCTAAACTCCCAACACCCTAAGCCCTACCGACCCATGTAGTGTTCCAACAGCACGGGGTTGGAACAGGGGTTTAAGGTTCAGGGTTTAGGGTTTAGGGTTTAGGGTTTAGGGTTTAGGGTTTAGGGTTTAGGGTTTAGGGTTTAGGGTTTAGGGTTTAGGGTTTAGGGTTTAGGGTTTAGGGTTTAGGGTTTAGGGTTTAGGGTTTAGTCCACGAGTATGTGACGCAGAGCTGCACCTTAGGAACCAAATGAACCCTACCATTGGGACCCTATACTACTAGAATCCTTATTGAGGTATATGAACCACAAACCCTTTTAGGCTTCGTAGGGACCCTATACTACTAGAATCCTTATTGAGGTATATGAACCACAAACCCTTTTAGGCTTCATTTGGCTCTCAAGGCATTTTGGTGGTTTTTGCAAGCACGCCCCTGTCTCGGTCGTGCGCCTGCGCATGGAAGGTGCCGCTTTACACTGTCCGGAGTGTACGCTGGCAAAACCCTAAGGGTCCATGTACCTATATAGTGTACACTTGGGTCTAAAGGGGTTCCTACATAGTATCTTTAAGTATATACTATACAGGTACATGGACCCTTAGGGAAAATATTTGTCCTCTACTTCGCCGAAGGTTCGGGTAGCCTACTCATCCCTCGGCGTGGGATGGTTTTCGGATCTTTGGGGCTGAGCGCTTCAGCCCAGGATGGGCTTTTAGGCCTTAAAATCCTCAGTACTCTGAACCCCCCCCAAAAAAGGGCCCTTTTGAGAGTATGGGGTGTAATACTCTGAACCCTATACAGGGCCCTTTAAGGGCTTGGAGGGTTTAGTATTATGAACCCCTATATGAAGTAGGATTTATATTACTGTTTTTGGTGAGTGTATTTAAGGTTCCTTTTTAATATTGGTGAGTGTATGGTACAAGAAATATATACCCTACTCCATATAGGGCCCTTTAAGGGATGCATTAGGGTATAACAGCCCATCCTGGTTCTCCTCTTTGCAGGACTTCGGGTCAGCGATGCCGTTCGCAGCACCCGCAGCAAAGACCTGCTCTCCACCGTTCCCGGGTGGCTGATGTAGACAAACAGGGTTTAGGGTTTAGGGTTTAGGGTACATAAGTACTTTGTCATAGTTGGGTAACATTTTACATGTTTAAGGGTACTTAAAGCCCAAAAAGGAATAACACGTTTGAGTTTTTCAAATTATCCCAACCATGAACTAGAATAGGTAGACACATAGAGGCCCTTAGTGTGAGTTAAGGTGCAAGCTTTCTTTAAGGGGTAGTGGCTATCTAGATCTAAGATTCCGGTACAGTTGCCCGCCGAGCCTCCCTGGCCTGCTCAGTGTCCTTAATCTCGGACTCCCTGCTGCCTGTGGCCCTCAATGCTGTACTACCTTCTGTCCTCAGAGTCGCGTCACATGATGTGCGCCACCGCTTTGCCCTTAAAATCTAACAACTCCACTTGTCAAACCTCACCTGTCCGGTGAGGAAAAAAAGGTTTGAAAACGTGGAAAGTTGCAAGCGGGCAGTCTGGGTGTGTTGGCGCACCCTCAAGCTTATAAAAAGCATATAGAACCCTAGAAATGTAAACCAGAATCCCGAAAGCCGACAAAAGCTTTGGGCCTTATTTAGTATAATTCGTGCCCCTAAACCCTAAACCCTAAACCCTAACCCCTCAACCCCAAAGCTGTCCAAAGGTAGCAGACTCCGCTGCTGCTGCGTCCGCCTCCGCTGCGTTTGGCTCCGCTGTGACCAGCTCCGCTGTCACGAGCTCCGCTGCGACGGCCGGGCCGGACAAACCTCGAAGTCGGATTTCGCGTTTAGGGTTTGGGGTTTTGGGGTTTTAGGGTTTAGGGTTGAGGGTTTAGGGTTCAGGGTTTAGCCCCAGTTCAACCGCATCATGAAGCTGAAAAGGTCAGAAGACCACGCACCCTAACCAATCCGAAGCCTCGATGCCCTGAAGCCCGAAGTCTTTACAATCCTGCTGAACCCTATACTTTTTCGGCTATAAACGGTATAGGGTTTAGGGTTCAGGGTTCAGGGTTTAGGGTTTAGGGTTTAGGGTTTAGGGTTTAGGGACTATAAACCCTATCTAGGATGCCCAGTAGTACTCTTATTCCCTTTTAGGCAAAAAAAAGCCACCCTTTTTCAACCTAGGTTACTGGGCAACCTAGCTAGAAACCCTAAAGAGCCTACGAACCCCATAAGCCATAGAAACCCTATAACTCTCTGTCAACCCCCAAAGCCCCCTTCCCCCTGAAGGTGTCCGATTCCACCACAACAACATCGACCAACTGGCCGGCGCAAACTACTGGAACCGGTGTAGACTGGCTGGCAAGTTCAAGCCTTGCGGCTTAGGGTTTAGGGTTGAGGGTTGAGGGTTTAGGGTTTAGGGATAGGATTCAGGGATTCAGGATTTTAGGGTTTATAAGGCGTAGAGTTCGCTGTGATATGGCGCAGAAGCTGTGAAGTCGGGACGCAGGCCAACTTCGAAAGCTCCGTGAACTGCGAAGAGCGAGCTATGGCACCAGCTATGATCCAACCCACGCCGTCTCAGGCGGCAAAACCACCCCTAGATGCTCTCATGCTAGTTCCCTACGGGTCCATGTACCTATAGAGAGCATACATGGGCTTTAAAGGGGTTACCATGGATTTTTTTTAGGGCCCAGGTCTACACTATATAAGTACACGGACCCTTAGGGGTTCAACTCCCGAAACCATCAACGTGCGCCACCTGCGTGCCCCTGTTGCTCGGTCCTCCAGGCCAAGCCACCTGCATTCTTCCTGCCTAGGGTTTAGGGTTTAGGGTTTGGGGTTTGGGGTTTAGGGTTTGCTTTGTGCCCATGCCGAAAACCCAAGCTGGCGTATCTAAAGGTTCTGATGAGCTTGAACTAACTTTGAGTGTCTCTCGTTCACGTTGTTGGCTATCTGCATGCTCCTTGCCCACGAGCGCACTTTCCCACAATGACAACAGCGCGCGCGGCTCGCGTCCTGGCTTCAAACCCGAACTACCCTAAGGGTCCATGTACTTACATAGTGTATACCTGGGCTCTCAAGCTACTCTATGGTAACCCCTTGAAAGCCCAAGTATGTATACATGGACCCTTCGGGTAGTCAGGAAGCGGAACTCGTGTACCAGCCGTATGAATCAGCTGTCAAACATCAAGTCCTATAAGGCTTCTGTCGACATGCATATCGCCTCTGATAGGCCGGGGGTTAGGGTTTATAAGGTTTAGGGTTTATAAGGTTTAGGGTTTACGGTTTAGGGTCTGCGCTATGATCAGACAGAGACAGACAACGACAACAAGGACCATACTCCAAGTCCATTCCCATGCGTTCGCTTCTCTAAATTCTACTATTGTACGGTGGCCCCTTCCATGCAGGGGTGCAAAAACAGGGGCCATCATTTTGAGAACTGACCATGTGAGTTCTAACGTTCAAGGGGTAAAAGGAGGGACCCCTAGAAGGGACTCTCAGTCTAATTCCCGAATAGATCCCCCATATATACCTTATACAGTCCCGATATACCTAAGTAGCCCCCCAAACCCCTATGTGTTTGACCTTATACCTGGTCAATGTATTGTATGCCCACCCGCACTGGCGAGTACAGCCACTCATCAGGCTGCCCCTACCAATGCGACGCGCTGGCCTTAAGGGCTACCAGCTTCTCACACTCCCCCCGCTGAAGGAGTGCTCCCTGCTGTAACTCCCCCAGGCCCAGCAACCACCAGCAATGGCTGAGAGGTTTGCGCCACCTGGCCTCTCCATTAGGCGCTCATTGCCCCCAACCATTGGCAATGCCATGCTGTGATGCCACCCATGACCCCGACCGCCCTGGCAAAGCCACCCGCTGTGCCCGCCAGACTCTCAGCAGCCGACATGAAGTAACCCCACACAGCTTTAGGCCACAACTACCAAGCCCACTACCAAGCGGTGTTTTGCGCAGCAGCCCGATACTTGGGCACTCATAACCTGTGTTTGACCTTATACCTGGTCAATGTATTGTATGCCCACCCGCGCTGGCGAGTACAGCCACTCATCAGGCTGCCCCTACCAATGCGACGCGCTGGCCTTAAGGGCTACCAGCTTCTCACACCCTAAAAAACCCATAAAAAACTCCCTAAATAACCCCAAAAGGGTTTATTTAGTCCCTTGATAAGGGCAGCGTGGACGCCGAAGCTGGCGCCTGTCCGCCGCAAGCACCCGAGAGCTTCCTTTGGGGCTGGGACCAGGCGTGCCATTTGGGAGCGTGGCTTGACCGTTTAGGGTTTAGGGTTTAGAGTTTAGGGTTTAGGGTTTAGGGTTAACAGGGGCAGGTTTGAACATCATTCTTGATTGTGTTACTCCATTTCATCCCCCTTGTAATCCCTGTAAAGCCATGGAAACTTCCTGTTTTTTGGGTTCCCAAACCTACCCGAACCTACCCTGAACCCTATGCCCTAAACCTGGGAGGAGAAAAGGATCCAGTAGTTTTCAGCCCTTGGGCCCTTACTAGGGTTCAGGGTTTAGGCTGTAGGGAGAGTTTACAAACCCGAGTGCAGCGCAGGAAAGAAGTAGAAGTTGTAAGTAACCCTAAACCCTAAACCCTTAAACCCTTAAACCCTAAAACCCTAAAACCCTAAAACCCTAAAACCCTAAAAACCCTAAAACCCTAAAACCCTAAACCCAAAACCCCTATAAAGCTCTCAAGCCCCACCAGCAGCATCTTAGGACGGATGAGGCTTGCGAGGTCTTCTTGGCTTCCAAGATGTTTCCGAGTCTCGGCCGGGCCTTTGGGGACATGTGGTGTTGTCCCTTCTTGGGCTTAAGAGGATTTTTTTTTCAGGAAGATTGTTCAAAGGGCTTCAACCCTAAACCCTAAACCCAAACTCCTAAACCCTAAACCCTAAACCCTAAACCCCTAAACCCCTAAACCCCTAAACCCCTAAACCCCTAAACCCCTAAACCCCTAAACCCCTAAACCCCTAAACTCCTAAACCCATAAACCCCTAAACCCCTAAACCCCTAAATCCCTAAACCCCTAAACCCCTAAACCCCTAAACCCTAAACCCCTAAACCCCTAAACCCCTAAACCCCTAAACCCTAAACCCGGGCCATCCGAGGAATGTATCTCACCTTCTGGCGGTGTCCACAAGGGTGGCAGATCGGAGCTACCAGCCCAGGGTCGCCAGATTGAAGCTGCGCCTGAGCCAGGCAGAACAGGGTTTAGGGTTTAGGGTTTAGGGTTTAGGGTTTAGGGTTTAGGGTTTAGGGTTTAGGGTTTAGGGTCATGTTTGGATGTTTCCCTCCTTCGACTATCAGTCCCTCAGAGGGATTCTACGTACGCTCTCTCTCAATCCACATAAAGGGCTGCTAGTATCAGGGGGGGCATCCCAAAGGGGTAGGTTTGAACAATTCTTTACATTGCCCCGAATCCTCTACAGAATCCGGATAAAGCCTTAAACAAGTTGTCTATAAACGATGCCCCTGATCCCCTCTGGACCCCTTATAAAGCCGCAAAGATTTAGTTTTTTTAGGGCTCGCAAACCCCAAAGAAACGTGGAGTGGCGGTTTAACTTCGTTCCAAGATGCGCCGAACCAACACAAAGGGGTGGTCTCCTTATGAATTATTAAACAAAGTGGGGTTTAGGGTTTAGGGTTTAGGGTTTAGGGTTTAGGGTTTAGGGTTTAGGGTTTAGGGTTTAGGGTTTAGGGTTTAGGGTTTAGGGTTTAGGGTTTAGGGGGTCACCCTTGATGCCCCCCCCCCCCCCCCAAATTGCTATACTAGCACTGTGCCAGTCATACTCCGCAATCTCGAATTATAGGAAATGCAACAGAGCGGAATTAACAAATTCTCGCTCCAAGTGGGCTAACTATATTGTAGGCCATCAACAAGAACAGAGGAGGGAAATGCTCGCCCCATGTGTTTGCTGTGCGCCCTAAACCCTAAACCCTCAACCCTGTAGGGAAACGATGCAACAGCCTGGAATGACTCTTCTATAGGCGTTCTGGGCCACCCAACCTCGGCACTGTTTAGGCTTTGCTGTTTGGGGGTTGGGGTTTAGGGTGTTTACTTGGAGGTTCATGGGTACTTATAACCACAGTTATGAGTCTACTTATAACCTACTTAGGGGGCTTATCAGTACAGTTATAGTTAATAAGTACCATGAACCTACAAGTATGGTTTGGGATTTAGGGTTTAGGGGTTTAGGGTTTGGGTTTCGGGCTTGGGGTTTAGGGTTTGGGGTTTCGGGTTTAAGGTTTGCTCCGACCATTGCGCCCCCCCCCCCCCCCCCCCCCCCCCCCCCCCCCCCCCCCCCCCCCCCCCACCCCTGACGTCGAGGCGGCCAAAGAGAAGCGCCCGTTCCGGATAATTGTGATTGGGCCTTCGAACACCATTGGGAGAGGATGTTCTGGGCACGGCCGCGGGAACGCGAAGGGTCTTCGGTGGTCGGATGCCCTCCAGAACCTGTCCAACTACACAAGGACCCAAGCGCGAGCCACATTTCCTCAAACCTAAACCCTGTAAGCCCTAATTACCACCCAAACGCAGACCCCACATCCTAAATCCCTAAACCCTCTGTAAGCTCTAATTACCACCCAAATGCAAACCCCACATCCTAAATTCTGAAGCTCAAACTTGCAATAATGCGCCTCTAAGCGCTGTTGGGTTTTGTGTTTCGGGTTTCGGGTTTTCACCTCAGAAGGTTTAGGGTTCAGGTTTCAGGGTTTAGGGTTTAGGGTTCAGGGTTCAGGGTTTTAGGGTATACCCTAAACCCTAAACCCTAAAACCCCCCTAAGGCATGCAAGACAATGGCCCCTTGTTTATGATCTCGGCTCTGTTTTTGGTTTTGTATCTGCTTTGGGGGGCCCAGGTGGACCCCATACTTGAAGGTTCATGGTACTTACTAACCAAGTATAACTGGGCTTATAACCCCTAATTGGGATAACCCCTATAAGGCCCTTTAGGGGTATTATAAGTAGGGTTATAAGTACAGTTATAATTGGTTAGTAAGTACCATGAACCTTCAAGTACCAACATCACAGACAAGGTTTTCCAGCAAGTGTTTCTTCCGGTGGCTGTCTGTCGTTGCGGTTTTAGGGTTTAGGGTTTTAGGGTTTTAGGGTTTAGGGTTTAGGGTTTAGGGTTTTAGGGTTTTAGGGTTTAGGGTTTAGGGTTTCGGGCCAAGGGGATGCCATGACTTTAGTATCTCAGGGTAGTTTCATTGGGCCTTGATATGGCCCCTTACCTCCTTTCAAGGGTTCTGAAGTACTGGTATGGGGGTTTCTGGTTTAGGGTTTAGGGTATGGGCCCTTTGGTTGCAAAGGAAAAGGGACCGTGAAACTACCCTAAGATAGTATGGCAAACCACCGAGCAGAGGAAGAAACCATAGAGCACTACTCTACCTTGAACCCCTGAGGTTGGATCCCTGCGTTTTGGGACCCTTTGTATAGATCCTCTAGGAGAATGTACGGCCCAGATGAGGAGTATGGTAAGGGAACCTCTTAGGGGCACATCCTTAGAGGTCCGAGTATGGCTCCCTTGACATACTTGCTTGCCATGCTCCAAGATCCTCAACCCTGAGCCCTGACCCCTGAAGACTCCGCAACTCCCTAAACCCTAAACCCTAAACCCTAAACCCTAAACCCCAAACCCTAAACCCCAAACCCTAAACCCTAAACCCTAAACCCTGAGTCGCAGGAGCCCCCTCCAGATGGAGGTCATCAATGAAGCTCTGGGTGCCACCACCTTCTACAATATCTGGAGCGGGATTAGGGCTGGGGTTTAGGGTTTAGGGTTTAGGGTTTAGGGTTTAGGGTTTAGGGTTTAGGGTTTAGGGTTTAGGGTTTAGGGTTTAGGGTTTAGGGTTTAGGGCTTAGGGCTTAGGGCTTAGGGTTTAGGGTTTAGGGTTTAGGGTTTAGGGAATTCTGAACATCGTACCTCATTGAGCTTCGGGGCTTCAGCCCAAAACCCGACAACCCGAAGGAGCCTAAGCCCCCCCCCAAATCCAAAAGCCCGAAACCCGAAACCCTAAACCCTAAACCCTAAACCCTAAATCCCCCAAAATAAGAACCTAATCTGAAGAAGCCCTAAGTTGCAGAGGAGGAGCCATGACCTCCCCCACCCAACCCCGAAACCTTCAACCCTCAAACCCTCAGCCACTCTTACCTACTATACCCAAAGACTTCTATGTAGTACCTTTTTGGGGTAGTATACTAGAATCCTCTATAACTAATCCAAAAAGGAACTACATAGGAGCCTTTGGGTACACATAACCTAAACTCCTTCTTGGCTAGAGGCACGCCTCCTGGCGTGCCTAGGCCCAATAAGGGGCGTACACAGGCCAAGAGGGAGTGTGCCAGGGAGGCGATAGGCACGCCTCCCTTGTGTGCAAATCACGCGCCTCCTTATTGGGCTCAGGCACGGCTGCTGTTAGGGCACAGGCTCCTTATTGGGCATAGGCGTGCCTGATTATTGGACACAGGCACGCCCGCTAGTGGGCATAGGCACGCCTCCAACCCCATTCTCGCCTCGAAAACAAGAGGAGCCAGCAGCTGGGAAAACACTCAAAGGAGCCTTATGCCAGTTCAGGGGTCCCTAAATGTGTTTAGGGTTTAGGGTTTGTGGTTTGGGGTTTCGGGCTTCAGGTTCAGATGTTCAGGTTTGTGACTTTCCGGTTTGGGGGTTTAGGGTTTGGCATTCCAGGTTTAGTGTTCGGGGCTGCTTGGCAAGATTAGGCTAGAGGAAGGACCCCGAAGGACACTCTACACTAAGAAACCCTGTGAGGGTTACATGATATAGTTGCAGCTATACTCCGGGGTGTTTTCTCGCGGCAACAGGATAAAGAAAGTCTTTCGCAGCATCCCTTAGTACAGTTTCGGGTTGAGGGTAGCAGCCGAGTAATACAGGGCTCGGAATCATCACTAATAGTGTTCCCTTATGGTCACTTTACTATTATACCATAATCACCCTCAAAACCCTATTCTAACTATTAAGGCCCTTACATCAGCAGGACTCGTATAGTGTTCCCTTACGATCCCGTTACTTTTATACGACAATAATTACCCCGCAAAACCCTATTCTAATTCTTAAGGCCCTTACATTAGCAGGACTCGTACGTCGACCTCGTGGCCGTTGACTACACTCTTACTGCTGCAGACAAATTGGTGAATTCACGTGCTGTCCTTGCAATGCTCACCTACTTGCAAAGATGGAAGCCACCACCTGCAGTGCTTTTCCTGGAGACCTTTACAGGGAATGCTATACACATCATGGGGCATGTGTCGGAAAAACCCGATGCCTGCAGCTTTGCGGGCGCGAACCTGCGGACCACCGATCCTCTCTTCCCGGCCCTGGCGGCCTTGCAAATCCCCATGGTAAGCCACTCGGTGGCCCAGTGGTACCGTATTACCTTGTTTTGTTGGTTCTGGGTGCCCCTAGAAAGTACCCACAACCCCAAAAAGGGTGCCCTCATTCTCATATATGGGGCTTTACGAAAATAAAGGGACCCCCCCCCCCAATGTAGAAACCAAATATAGTATTCCTTGATATTGAGGACCCCAATAAGGTACCCTAAACCCTAAACCCTATAGACCCTAAACCCTAAACCCTAAGCCCTAGACCCTAAACCCTAAACCCTCAACCTATGCTTGCTGGGCTACCAAGGCTATGCGGACGTGGCTTGCGACATGCCAGCCCTGGGTCGGAGCAGCGCAAGCAGAAGCAAGGTCCCTTTCCTCTACACCTACGCCAATGAGGATCATCTCTGGGGCCGCGGGGTTCATTTCGTGCAAGGGGTTCGGTAGGGTTTACCCAAAGGCTCCTATGTAGTTCCTTTTTGTGTTCGTTTTTGGGGGATTCTAGTATACTACCCCCCAAAAGGTACTGCATAGGAGCCTTTGGTTTAGGGTTTAGGGTTTAGGGTTTAGGGTTTAGGGTTTAGGGTTTAGGGTTTAGGGTTTAGGGTTTAGGGTTTAGGGTTTAGGGTTTAGGGTTTGGGGTGCCCGCATCGGCGAGGATGCTCATCACTACGGCTGCGGGGTTCATTTCATCCAGGCCTGGGCTTTCAACCCTAAACCCTAAACCCTAAATCCTAAACCCGAAACCCTAAACCCTAAACCCGAAACCCGAAACCCTAAACCCTAAACCCGAACCCTAAACCCTAAACTCTAAACCCAAAACCCTAAACCCCAAACCCTAAACCCTAGCTGAATGTCGTTACCCAAAGGCTCCTATTGGGCTTACGCAAAGGCTCCTAGGTAGTTCGTTTTTGGGGTTAGTTGTAGTCGAACCCAATAAGGAACTGCATAGGAGCCTTTGGGTAAGCCAACCCAAGCCCTGAACAAACCCTAAACCCTAAACCCAAAGACGCAAGGCCCAGAGCGTCCACGCCTTTCTGCACAAGCTGCTGCGCGATTCCTGCATCGAGCCCTGACCGAGACTGGTATGTTTAGGGTTTAGGGTTTAGGCTTTAGGGTTCAGGGTTCAGGGTTCAGGGTTCAGGGTTTAGGGTTCAGGGTTTAGGGTTTAGGGTTTAGGGTTTAGGGTTTAGGGGAACTTCACGTCCCACCAAAACTGCCCCTAGTTGTGTTCGTGTAGGGTTCCCCAAATTATGCAAACTAACGACCTTTTTCTGGGTTTGGGGGCTTGTTTTTTCCGCACTTCTTTGGGGTGCAGGTACGCTTTAGGGTCACCCAAATCCGAAAGAGCAAGTGTAGACCCCTAAGCTCTAAACCCTAAACCCTAGACACTAAACCCTAAACCGCAGGAAGGCGACCAGGCTACCCTGTCCGGCGCGGCCGCGGAAGACGCGGCGTTGCAGCAGCTGCAGGCGAACAGCCTGTCGCAGGTGGAGCGGTGCCAGACGGAGTTGCTCCTGGACTTGAACAAATGTTTCATGCACCCTAAAACCCTACAAACCCTAGAAACCCTACAAACCCTAAAAACCGCATAAGCCCTAGACACCCTCAAATTTAAAACCAAACCCTAAACCCTAAAACCCTAAAACCCTAAAACCCTAAAACCCTAAAACCCTAAAACCCTACAACCCTAAAACCCTAAAACCCTAAAACCCTAAAACCCTAAACCCTAAAACCCTAAAACCCTAAAACCCTAAAACCCTAAAACCCTAAAACCCTAAAACCCTAAAACCCTAAAACCCTAAAACCCTAAAACCCTAAAACCCTAAACCATCCTAAAACCCTGGGTTTATGGGGCTTTGGTTGGTACTCAGAGGGTCGAGCCGCGGGAAGCCCGCACCGAGAGTTTTGAGGTTTGCTTAAGAATTCAGGGATGAGGGTTTAGGGTTTAGGGTTTAGGGTTTAGGGCTTGAGAGGGTCAGGGGTTTTAAGGTTTAGCTGTAGGTGCGGGGGTTTACGTCTTTAGCTTCAAGGTGTTATCTTGGGGCTGTTGCGTTCGGGCTTGCGTGCTTTTGGACTGAGGGTTTGGGATTTGTGGGGTTAATGCACTTCTGTGTTGTTTTCGTTGTGGTCGTTGTCGTTGTCGTCTTTATCGTCATCCTGGTTGCGGCTGTTGCGGTTGTTTGCTGTTGGTTGCTGGTTGTTGGTTGTTGGTTGTTGGGTTGTTGGTTGTTGGTTGTTGGTCGTTGTGGGTTGTGCGTTGTGCGTTGTGCGTTGTGGGTTGTGGGTTGTGGGTTGTGGGTTGTGGGTTGTTGGTGTTTCTGTGTTGTTGGTGGTTGTTGGTCGTTGGTTGTTTTTGGTTGTTTTTGGTTGTTGGTTGTTGCTGGTTGGCTGTTGGCTGTTGGCGGTTGGCGGTTGGCCGTCGTCCGTCGTCGGTGGTCGGTGTTCGGTGTCGTCGGCGTCGTCGTCGTTGTCGTCGTCGTCGTCTGCTTAAGTTTGTCTGTCAATTCAGCAACAAGCAGAAGCGTTTAGGGCTTCGGGTTAAACACACACACACACACCACTGGCTTGCTTAGAAGGATGTTTAAACTAAGTTGTCTTAACAAGGAACCATCGTCTATACATACATCATTATCCGAGTTCTTCCCCTAAGCCCCATGAACCTAGACCCTAAGCTCAAGGTAGCTATAAATGAACTATATAAGGTATATTTAGGGTTTATATAGCAGGATAAGACTAAGGATCCTTTGTTGATGTCCCTCCTTCTCCCTTCATGAACCCTGATCATATACAATATCTGATCATATACAATATCTTCATCTAGCTTCTTCCCCTGAACGCCCTATATATACATATATCTTCATCCAAGTTCTTCCCCTAAGGCCTCAACCCTAAACCTATAAACTTTAAAGCCAAGACCCTAAACCCTTAGTGGACCCTGAAACCGGCAGTCCTATAACCCTAAACCCTACACCCCAAACCCTAAACGCCAAACCCTAAACCCTAAACCCTAAACCCTAAACCCTAAACCCTAAACCCTAAACCCTAAACCCAGGCAGTCCTACATGTCCTACCTGGACCATCGGGGTTTCCCGGCGCTTGTCGGGGCTGACTCGACCTGGCAGTTCGGGGCGGACAGCCGAGCGAAGTACGGGTGGATTGCGAACTGGAAGCCTCAAGGTGCGTTTAGGGTTTAGGGTTTAGGGTTTAGGGTTTAGGGTTTAGGGTTTAGGGTTTAGGGTTTAGGGTTTAGGGTTTAGAACCCTGAAGGTACCCAAAGTGCTCAAAGAGCCCGATGCCCACTTCACGAAGGAATAGACCTTAAGTCAGATTCAGGATCCGAATTTCTGGTCCGCTGTTGAGGGGTATTGGGCTCTCTGGGTAGGCTTAGTTAGGGTTTACGGTTATCCTGGGGTCCTCTGTCATCCCCACCAGGACCATCCCCAAACCAAAGCAAGGCCTAAACAGACCCAAATCAGTACGACCTGGACCGTCTCTGAAACTTACTTCCGGCGGGGGTCCTAACCCTAAACCCTAAACCCTAAACCCTGAACCCTAAACCCTAAACCCTAAACCCCTAAACCCCTAAACCCTAAACCCTAAACCGCTAAACCCTAAACCCTAAACCCTCAACCCTAAACCCTAAACCCTCAACCCTAAACCCTAAACCCTCAACCCTAAACCCTAAACCCTACACACCCTCAAACGCAATCCCATGAAGGCAACGAGACTGGTAATGTAACGGACGCGCCACGACTTCCCATGAGGGCCAAGCCGGTGGCTGCGCGTCTGGCTTCGATTTAGGGGGTTTAGGGTTTAGGGTTTGGGGTTTGGGGTTTAGGGTTTAGGGTTTGGGGTTTGGGGTTTAGGGGTTTAGGGGTTAGGGTTTAGAGGGTTTAGGGGTTAGGGTTTAGGGTTAGGGGGTTTAGGGGGTTCAGGGGGTTGTAGGGGGTTTAGGGTTTCAAAGTTTAGGGGTTTTAGGGGGGCAGTTCTGGGTTCCCAACAGCCCAATACCCCTTCAGGAATATACCGTTTTTATGCCTTAAGCCATATAGGGGATCCTCAATATGATTTAAGAAATTACGCCTGATTTCAGTGGCGTATGGGGCTCTTCAGGGTTTTGGGGTCTTGCGTGTCGAGTTTGGGGCTACTTTATGCAAAACTTTGGGATGTAGGGTGATGCCTGTTTAGGCGTGTCGCGCTTGGCGGCAAGCTCGGTTCGAAGGGTCTAGGGTTGATGGTTTTAGGGTTTATGGCTTTAGGATTTAGGGTTTTAGGGTTTAGGGTTTGGGGTTGTCAAAGGGGTAGCCGAGGACCCACTATGCTCAGTTCGACGACCTCCCAGCCACGGATATCGTCTTCATCATCCACCTGGGAATCGGCGGGGTGTTGGTTGAGTATCTTTCGACCTACAACAACATTGGCTCTGCAAGCTGCCAGGTAGAAGACTTGTCAGGAAGGATCATCAGCCAAGTTTCACGGCTGAACGGTCTCTGGGACAAGCACATGTCTATGTCCAGCCAGGCGGTTTTTTTCGCGAACATGACGCAGCTGGCGCGCGACTCTAAAGGAACCGCGGCATTCCGGTGTCGGAGTGAAGGCAAGAAGTTCAAGATACTGTCCATCTCGACCTGCTGATTACTAAACAGCCCAATACCCCGAAGAAAGGAATCTAAACCTTAAACCCACATCGGGGCATCCTTCGTATCATCTAAGGACTATATTCCTGAATTGAGTGGGGCATTGGGCTCTTTGTAGAGATGCTTCAGGAGCTACTCAGAGGCTCATGGTACTTATTAACCAATTCTAGCTGGACTTCGAACTGGACTTCCAGCCATATTAGGGCACTTAAGGGCTTATAAATCGGTAAATACGTACAGGTAAAATTGGTTAAAAAGTACTATGAACCTCCAAGTAGTGCTGCTGGCACGCCGGCCCGTGCCTTTGTGTTTGCGACGGGTCGGGGGCAGAGTTTAACCGGCGACAGACGCGTCGTGCATTCGAGTTTCTCAGAACCAACCTGTGTCAAGGGGACCCTGAGTAGGGTCTCTCTTTCTGCTCTCCATGGTGGTCGGAATGAAGGATCCACATCATGTTCTGAGCGTACGGCCACATTCCTGAGGCACAGGGTTCTCTCGCGCTCGGTTCCGGACTGTACCTTCCTCGCGAACCTGTCGCCTGTCGCCGCACGTGCCTCGAGAGGGCTCGGTGCAGGCCAGTGCCGGAGTGAAAGCAAGGAGCTCAAGATACTCTCCATTTCGAGCCGCTGGCCGAGACAGCCCAATGCCCCTTTAGCTAAGGAATATAATCTTAAACCATATAAGGGGTCCTGAGTATGATTTAAGGCATGTTCCTTAATTAAAAGACATTGGGCTCTTTGGGGTGATGCTAGTTGAGGGGGCTGCTGGAGCATCGGCCCATGCTTTGCCCGTGCTCCACAAGACGGTACTTGAAGGTTCATGGTACTTACTAACCAATTATAACTGTACCTTATAACCCTATCCCATTTGTAAGTAGGGTTATAAGCCCAGTTATAATTGGTTAGTAAGTACCATGAACCTTCAAGTAGTATGGTCGTGTTCCTCAGGCACAGGGTTTTCTCCCCCTCTGTGCCGGAGACGAACCGAGGGCCTTGCTCGCGCAACTGTCGCCTGTCGCATCTCACACGTGGCTGGCGAGGGATCGTCGAAGAAGTTCAAGCTACTCTCCATCTATGGCTGCTGAAGCGGCTTACATGGGGTGGATAGGATTTAGGGTCCTTTGTTCCCGTAGGGTCTTGAGTCAGCTGGTGTCTTCGGATCCCTGGACACACAGACCCCAATCGACGCTTGACTTCAACAGAGATGGCCCCAACCCTTTGGCGCCGTGATGAGCCTACATGCCAACCCCAAATCCTCAACCCCAACCCAAAACGCCAACTCACCCCTGCCCCTCCTGCCGCGAAGATGGCGTCGTAGAAGTACTTGGAGGTTCATGGTACTTGTAACCCAGTTATAACTGTACCTATAACCCCTTCTACTACGCCCCTTACGTGCCCTAACATGAACCTCCAAGTACCCCTCAGGCCCATGGGGTGATAGTGGAACCTTCAACTTTTCTGGGTAAAAGAAGTTATCAAGGGAGGGGCCCTGAGTTTGGGTAGAAGTATACGGGCCCTAGATTGGGTTATACGTATCCTAACTTAGGTCATGAGCCCCTTCCCTGTAGGTAGTACAGTAAGGGGGCCCCTCCTTGTACCTTCAAAGGCTCAATGGCTAGCTTGTTCCCTTCTAATTGGAGTTTTCAGAACTCAGCAAGTAGAACCCTGGTTCCCTTTTTTAGGGGGGGCTAGGTTCCCGCAGAGTCTTGTGTTCGGGTGCTTACGGGGCAACGGTTTAGGGTTTAGGGTTTCAGGTGTAGGGTTTAGGTGTTGGGGGTTAGGGGTTTAAGGTTTAGGGTCGGGCCGCTACTCGTGCAGAGGAACACTGGATTGGGATAAGGGTGTAGTAAACACAACCGTGGTGTACAGCACCACCACAAACCCTAACACCCCCGGGCCAAACCAGAAAGCCCCATATGCCTAACCCTAAACCCTGAACCCAAAGCTCAAGACCCCAAACCCCCGAAGCCCTAAACCCCTACAAAAGCGTAACCCCCAAACCCCACAACCGCAGCCCTGAGCTGTAACCCCAAACCCCGAACCCGACAAGGGGGTTTAGGGTTCAGGGTTTAAAGCCCCAAGCCCTAACCCTAACCCCAAAAGCCCTAAGCCCTAAACCCTAAACCCAAAACCCTAAACCCTAAACCCTAAACCCTAAACCCTAAACCCTAAACCCTAAGCCCCAACCCCCCTAGACCCTAAACCCTCAACCCTAAGGTGCCAGAACCCGTTCAAGGCCGGTGCAGGTTTCATGTTGCTTGTTGCTTGTCTTGCGGGTTCAGGGTTCAGGGTTCAGGGTTTCGGGTTTAGGGTTTAGGGTTTAGGGTTTCGGGTTTAGGGTTTAGGGTTTAGAGTTTAGGGTCTAGGGTTTAGGGTTAATTATGCAGTAGGCTATACCGGAATGAAAAAGAAAACAAGGGCCAGTATGCATTCGGGTTGGGGGTCTAGGGTCTAGGGTCCAGGGTTTCGGGCTCTAAGCCCTAAACCCTAAACTCTTTAGCCACTGAACTGCAAGTTTAGGGTTGTTTAGGGCTGTTTAGGGTTTAGGGTTTAGGGTTTAGGGTTTAGGGTTCAGGGTTGCAGGCGACCTGGGCGCAACGGCTGGACGGCCAGACCGCCCTGGATGTGAAGGGTTGTGAGACCTGCGCCAGCATCCCAGTCTTGGGCTCGCCGTTTAGGGGTTTCGGGTTTAGGGTTTAGGGTTTGGGGTTTGGGGTTTAGGGTTTAGGGTTTAGGGTTTAGGGGTAGGGTTTAGGGTCAAAACAGCATAAAACTGAGGGCAAGCGTGGAAGCTGCTAGTTTCCCTGAATTTTTGAAGGCTCAGTTCTAGGCGATGCCACCCACAAAAATGAAGTAAGAGCCTTCAGGTAGTTTCTGCATGGGCAGGCCCCTACTTCATAGTCCCTTGTTTTGGGTTTCTCAAACAGGGGGGGGGGGATTCCCCGTGTGAACCCTAAACTCTAAACCCTACACCCGAAAACCTAAACCCTCAACCCGAAACCCAAATTAGAATAAGGAGCCCCCGCCAAAACAGGTACTCAAATGTGGGGAAACACCACGTAGAAGGCTCATGTCAAGAAGACCTAGGCATGCGGATCAAAATATGAATAGGATCGAAAAATGACTTATTTAGGATCAGTAAATAATCATTCTGTTCTTGCGACGGAGACGGGAGGGGGAGGGAGGGAGAGAGAGAGAGAAGGAGGGAGGGAGGGAAGGAAGGAAGGGCGGAAGGGCAGAAGGAAGGAAGGAAGGAAGGAAGGAAGCAAGGAAGCAAGGAAGCAAGGAAGCAAGGAAGCAAGGAAGCAAGGAAGCAAGGAAGCAAGGAAGCAAGGAAGCAAGGAAGGAAGGAAGGAAGGAAGGAAGGACTGACTTCTGGGTAAACCCTAAACCCTAAACCCTAAACCCTAAACCCTAAACCCTAAACCCTAAACCCTAAACCGGGAAGGCCCATGAAACAAAAAAGGGGCTGCCCTCAGTCTCTGAAACCTGAAGCGCCATATGAAACAGGGTTTATATTTGCGTTATTGGTGAGTGCATATAAGGTTCCTTTTTAAAGTTGGTGAGTGTATATATTGGGTGTCCTTTTTGGGGGTACAAGAAATATCGACTTAGGGTTTAGGGTTTAGGGTTTAGGGTTTAGGGTTTAGGGTTTAGGGTAGAAATAACATCCCAAGAGGGGTTCAGCGAGATTGGGGTCAAGGGGCTTACTGCCCCGACACTCCTGACACCCCAACCTCCTAAACCCCTAAACCCTAAACCCCTAAACCTTAAACCTTTAACCCCTTAACCCCCGAAACCCTAAACTCTAAACTCTAAACAGTTTCCAGCCACAGCTGTCTTGTCTGGGCTGCCGAGCCGTCAAGCCGGCAGCCCGAGTCGCGGTTTAGGACCCTGCGCGACCCTTGGTTCTTTTTTTTCGCTGAAACCGTTGAAGGTTTAGGGTGTAGGAATTAGGGTTTAGGGTTTAGGCTTTAGGGCTACAACGCTTAGACTCTAAGACCCTCAAACCCTAAACCCCAAACACTTAAACCCTGAAGTCCAGGTGAGAGAGAGAGAGAAAGCAAAAAACACACATGTGTATAATATGTATATGTATATAAATAAATAGATAGATAAATAAATAAATATATATATATATATATATATATATAAAGTCGGGTTATGAAGTAAGAGAACCCCAGTTTGTTTCTTTCTAGGGCACGCTGAATTCTACTTTGCACCCACTTAGTGCATAACCCAAAACCTTAAACCCTAAACCTTAATCCCGAAACCCTTCAAACCCTAAACCCTGTAAACCCTAAACCCTAAACCCTAGCTGAGGTCCCAGGTGAGAGCGACTGCGTTTGCACCGTCAACTGCCCGACTGGCCTTCACCTGAGCTGCGGCTTAGGGTTCAGGGATTGGACTGCATGTCAGGGAAGTTACATGGGCCCTTAGGGGTTAGGGTTTAGGGTTTCGGAGGGTTTAGGAGGGTTTAGGGTTTAGGGTTTAGGGTTTAGGGCTTAGGGCTTAGGGTTTAGGGTTTAGGGTTTAGGGGGTTCTGAAACATGGGCCCTCGGGTTCTGTAGGGTATATGAGGGGTATAAATGGGGGGTATCCTGTTAAGGGCCTATTACTGAGGATGTAGCTACTCTAAGAATGCTAGGGGAGTTACGTGGTGCCTAAGAAGTAGGGGCCCTGAGGTGTGATCAAAGTATATCAGTTACATTAAAGGTTCCCTGAACCCCAAAAACCCTAAACCCATGATTGGGCTTCCCCAGCTTGGTAGCCCAGTGGTACGTACCCTTTGCCCCTTTTTTTGGGTTCAAGCTTCCCTTGTAAAGTCACCAACCAAAAAAAGGGGTGCCCTTATCATAATATGGTTGCTGGGCTACCAGGTTGGGGTTCCCTGGACCCAAAACCCCAAACCCATTAATGGGGTTCCCCAATGTAGGGCCCATACTTGGAGGTTCATGATTATTTATTACCAACTAGAACTGTCCCCAGACATCTGGCT